TTCATCCTGGACACTACAGAAAATGGGCTTAAAGTGTAAAAAACCGAACTTCTCCTTTAAAGCGGACATTATCAATCAGTCAGTTGGAATACATTGTAATTCAGTAAGCAATTAATCAGTTATTGATCCTAAATTGATTATTTGTTCCCTAATTCAAAGCCTTGGTCTGTTCACAGTGATAATCTCCATGTTTTATTCTGACTCTGCTTTCTAAGATTGGGACACAGATTAGTGGTGCAGCTGATCATCATTGATCCGTCATCCATTTGGATCAATATTTACATTCGGTCCACACATGATCGGCGGATTGACTTATTGAGGGAAAAAATATATAAAAAAGTGGTGCGCACGTTCCTTTCACACATAGTGTGGTCATGCGAGTGTAGGAATTGAAGAGCTTGAATGTCCCGGTATGGGAACATTTTAGTTTTCCCATCAAATTGAATGATGAAGGAAAGATTAGTGGATAAAACAGTGACAGTGTTTAGGCACCATGGCACAAGAAGTTCATATGACAGCGGAAACACATCAAGCATGGCAATGCATTTGAAGCAACATCACCTTGGTGTTCCACTGACAGGAGTGAAAACGAACAACAGCTTAACACAGTGGCATTTAAGCAGCCCCCTTGCTGCACTATCCGACAGGGCTAAAGCCATCACAAACAGTATTGGTGTGTTTATAGGTATGAGCATAAACCCATGCACACACATTTAGCTAAAAGGTTGTGCCAGATCTTTATTAGCAGGAGATGAATAAAGTTGTGGATGAACTATCCCGAGCATCCTCCGTTGCCCTCGTGACAGACTGATGGATGTCCAGGGTAACCGAGAGCTATGTGACAATAACTGTTCACTTCATTACAGCATACAACATTTTGTTGTTTTTTTGCTGATCCAACAAATGATCCGATTCGTGACTCTGATCCGAGGAAAGATCTGAACCCTGAGTTTTTTATATCTTTTGGACCCCTAACTCAGATCCTTGTGTTCCACGTTCCCTCATACCTGATGTAATCCCTAAGACTAACTGTTGATTCTTGGAAACCATCGACAAAAAAAACTTAATGGATTAATGGAGTTTAATATAAAACATCCTAGTGCAGATGCTGTCTATTTAACATTGGAAAAACCTGCTCTGTAAGAACTCTACTCTTATCAGAACAACAAGCAACTGTTCATGTTGACGCCAAAAGTAGTGAAAGTTTTTGTCCTGCAGCATAAAGATCCTCCCTGAGGTTTTAACTGTTTGTGAAGGCTGCTTGGATAATGTCAGATTTAGCGGTTTGATGAGTTTTTCTGGGGTTGAAGTGTGATAAATTTCTCTTTGTTCATTCATTTGTAATATCCTGGATTTATCAAAGTGCATTTTTCAAATGGATAGCGCAATGGGAAGATTCAATAAAATCTCCATCGCGATATTGGTTGGAAATAATCATATTTTCGATTTTTTTTTTTTTGTTGAAGTCGTTGAGCCCTACATTAGATCATCTTTGCTAAATCCTAGAAGATGTTTGGCCTTTAACCTCTATAACCTTCTAGGTTTTACTTCTGTAATAAATCCAACATATACTTAACACCTAAGAAAAAAAAACCAACAGCTAAGCATAATTATGGGGATTTCTGTGCTTAAAAGTTGGAGTAAGCAAAACCTAACGAAGCATTGTGGTGCTAAACCTTCTAGTTGTCATTATCTCCAGTGCTCCTAACATGTCTGGATTATCATTACATCATTCCTGTTGCTCGGTGAGGTGAGTCGTTTGGATCAGAACACTCTGGTTCTGTTTGTGTGTTCATTAGAGAAGATATGTATGCACAGGACTCCATTGAGCTTCTGACCACTTCAGGGATTCAGTTCAAGAAGCACGAAGACGAAGGCATCGAGACGCTTTACTTCGCCGAGCTGCTGATGACGTCCGGAGTGGTGCTGTGCGATGGAGTCAAGTGGCTGTCTTTTCATAGGTAGATCCTCATCTTTCTAGAATCGGAAACGAGACATGTTCACCTCTAAGCTAGCCCTCAATGAGTCTGATGTTTTTGGAGGTTGGGTTGCTGTCAGTGTGTCTGTAATTTCATGAACATCAGCTGCAGCCATGCACACGGTTGTTAAGATATTCCCATCTGTTTCTGCATGCATGTTTTTCACAGCGGATATGACTTTGGGTACCTGATCAAGCTCCTGTCTAACGCCAACCTGCCTGAGGAGGAGGTGGACTTCTTTGAGATTCTCCGCTTGTACTTCCCTGTCATTTACGACGTGAAGTACCTCATGAAGAGCTGTAAGAACCTGAAGGTACTTTGATGGACACCTGCTGAGAACAGAGAACATCCTGCTGTTGCTTTAATCTCTGGTTTTTAGTAGCTGTGACAGCTTTCTGTAGATGTGGGTTACAAGTACAGGGAACTTATTAATGTTTGAGGGATTTAATTTCAGTTCCAGATGATTCAACCTAGATTAAAACAATGGAAATAGCAGCAGAGCAGAGCTGATGGTCATAGGTCAGCCTGGCTGTGACTAAGCAGGCCAGGCTCACTCTTTTTTTTTTTTTTTTTTTTAAGCTGTGATGCTCCCTGCAATTCACAGTTCTTTACAAAAGTATTCCCATTGCAAACACATTCTTTCATTTATTTCATGTTCAAGACAAAGTGATGGAAATTGTTTTAATGATATAGGCGTGCGTTTGTATTCAGCCTCTGTTACTCTGATACCTCCAAGTAAAATTCCCTGCAACCCTTTGCCTTAAAAAGTCACTTAGTTTTTAAATGAATGCCGTCTGTGAGTAATTTCCTCTTTATAAACACCTCCCTTCTGTATAGGCCTTATACAGATATAGGTACCGTATTTTCCGGACTATAAGCCGTTACTTTTTTCCCACGCTTTGAACCATGTAGCCTATAAGAAGGTGCAGCTTTTCTGTGGATTTTTTTCATAACTGCTAGACGCGGAAGTAAATGTTGGAAATGGAAAGGTGCTAATTTTTATTTAGCATAAATTATTTATTTGCCGCATTAAAGCTGCTGAACTAATAAAGAGACTGGGCTCAACTCCTGCAGAGCTGAAATAAAGCTGATGAAGCGCCTTTTTCAGTAGAAGCTCCTAATTCTGCGAGCAACAAGCTAACAGGAGCTAGCATTCTTCTTCGTCTTTACTCCAGAGGCTTTATGTAGAGCTCCCCCTACAGGTTTTGTGGGGGACAGTTCAGTAGATATCAGCGGCTTATAGCCCAGTGCAGCTTATTTTGTACGTTTCCAGTTTTTTTCAAAACGTGTTGGGTGTGGCTTAAAGTGAGTTGCGCTCTATAGTCCAGAAGATACGGAATATGACTTTGTTCCCTGGTAAAGGCAGCGTCATGCTGTGGGCATGCTTTCCTTAAGCAGAAACACAGAAGCTGGTCATAGCTTTTTGAAGATGTACGGTAGATTCTTTATTTTTATTTAATTTCTTTTTTCACCGGCTCATTTAGTCTCTCATACTGATGTCAGCTGCTCCCTAAAGAAATAGGAGATGGAGTAATTTATTTTTCCATTTCAGGAATAGGAAACTGCTGTCTTTGTGTTTTACTCTTGTGCAGAAACAATGTTTTAAGGCTGGATAGAAAACTGAAAAGTGTTTACTCACCTTGTGTGGCTGATAGGGGTGTAAACCACACCCGTCATGGCGATTCGATTCAGTATCAATTTCCTGAACCAACGATTCGATTATTTTCGATAATCAAGAATACATCGTCTTTTTCCTCTGCCACTTCTGTCTTCCCTACTGTTTATGCGACTGTGTGTGTGCATGCAGAAAGAGGGTAATGGCCAAAGGAAGTGAGGTAGGAGGGAAAAATAGCTTTACTGTCAATTCAGCACGGGAGTCAGAATTATGTCCAGGAGTTAATGGATAAAAATAGACCGGAGGAAAGAAAAAACATGAATCGATACTCTAGCAGACGTGTCGATGCATCGGTTTGTCAGCTGTTGGATCGATGCATCAATACAAAATGATTATTATTTACACCCCTAGTGGCTGAAATAGAATAAATGATGGAACAATTTAACACGTCTGTCAATAATTTACAGCTGTTAGCTCAAATATCACTCTGCAAACTGCTAATATTTACTCTAAATTGTTCTTGTGGGAAAACTAATGTTTGGCCACTTTTATGCTCTGATGAAAACAGGCAATTAGCAGTTTTTGTTTTAGTTCTTCTAGCCTCTGCTTATTATACAGAGCCAGTGTCTGGTCGGGCAAAACAAAATAAACAGTAATATGAAC